TAGATGTATGTGTGATCAGTTCAAAACAGCTGAATCCTTATGACATGTTCTTCAACCATACATAAAAAAGTAATCTTGTATTTTCAAAACATTGTTTTATTTAATTTTATCGTTGTAATCAGTAATATACTTTGAATGTTTAAAATCAGTTGTGTTTCAGTGAGTTGTTAGCAGCTAATCTAAGTTCATGAAGGTCCCTGTGTGACTGAACAAATGAATCACAGAAGAGTGTGGAGTACACAGATGTTATTATTTGAACTATTTGACTGAAAGAGTCTGAAACGCGATAATCTTCTCGCTGTATGAAAATATTTGAAATAATGTGATTAATGATAAAAATGCAGCTCAGTAACAACAACACAGTCATGTTGAAACATCATCATGAAAGATACAAATAATTCTTGGATGTTCAGAAACACTGTAAATCACTATTGCTGATGGATTTTGGAATATCGTGTCAGATTCAAGTTCATAAGAAAGAAAAGAGCAGTTACTATGTGTGAACTAGTTATATCTTGGTAAATGGACTCATTCTTATATAGCGCTTTTCTACTCTCCCGGAGTACTCAGAGCGTTCTATACAACATGTCACATTCAGCCAATCTCACAATCTCTGACTGTAAACTGAGTGCTGTCTAACTACATTCACACACATTCACACTCCGATGGATGCATTGAAGAGCAACTTGGGGTTAGTAACTTGCCCAAGGATACTTGGCATGCAGACTGGAGGATCGAACCCCCAACCTTCCAATTAGTAGATGACCAGCTCTACCTCCTGAGCTACAGCCACCCCCTTAAATTTAATCCTGTAACACATGAAGATGTGCAGAATAAGTGTGATTTCCACGTGTGATCTGAGCAGCAGGAGAAGCTGCTGTTGTACAAGATATGAAGTGTAGATGTTGTTGTTTCACTCTGTGTTTCTATGTTGTTGATATTTAGTGTTTTACTCTCTAAAGTCAGACAGCAAATAAAATGACAGTTACAGTTCAGCACGCAGTGATTTCACACACAGGATTAGTGTTTGTGTTGTGAGTCAGTAACAGTCTAACAACAATGTTCAGCTGCTCTGATGGAAGACGGCTTGAAAATGGACTTTCATTATATACAGGACACACATGGACAAGATGGAGTCCATCAGTAGTGTGTGGTTGTATTTATGCAGCTCAGATCAAATCATCACTAAATGTTTCCTTCTTATTGTTCCAGTGTTGTGCCTCTGGAGTCAGGGGAAATCACTTTTTTGGGGAATCTGTTCTGTGCAGCAGCAGAGAGAGAACAGCAGCCAGGAGAGAAGATACTGGAGCTGTTATCATCAGTGTGCAGATATCAAACATTCCCTTTTAATGACACATACATGGATGATTCTTATGTGTCTGATTTCCTGCTGGATCTGTACTCTCATGTGAAGGACTATGAGACTAAAACAGGCTTGAGTGTCCTTCCATCATTACAGTCAGTTTTCCAGTCCACTCCTGCAGTCTGGTTCATAAACCTTTCAAAGAGAAAGACCTCCATCCTCCTGGAAGTGCTGAAACTCCAACCAGAGAAGAAACACGTGGCGCTGAGAGGCTGCTCACATGAAGAGAGTGAAGTGAGGAGTTTCCTGCTGTGTCTGCCTTATATCTCACAGCTCAGGTAAATGAACTCACTCAGTGGAAAAAAAATGTTTTAATTTCCAACAATTTACTGTAATGATACAATTTAATATTTCAATATTATATTTTTGTCACCAATATTTCTGTTTACACATTCTGATTTCATCCACTTGGAGTCCATATTTCAGTTATATTTCTACTGTACCTAATATCAGAGGGAAACATTGTTTTCTGCACAGCACTGTGCTTATTTAATTATTGTCAGTAATTTGTTGCCTTGAACCTGATATTATAGATGTATGTGTGATCAGTTCAAAACAGCTGAATCCTTATGACATGTTCTTCAACCATACATAAAAAAGTAATCTTGTATTTTCAAAACATTGTTTTATTTAATTTTATCGTTGTAATCAGTAATATACTTTGAATGTTTAAAATCAGTTGTGTTTCAGTGAGTTGTTAGCAGCTAATCTAAGTTAATGAAGGTCCCTGTGTGACTGAACAAATGAATCACAGAAGAGTGTGGAGTACACAGATGTTATTATTTGAACTATTTGACTGAAAGAGTCTGAAACGCGATAATCTTCTCGCTGTATGAAAATATTTGAAATAATGTGATTAATGATAAAAATGCAGCTCAGTAACAACAACACAGTCATGTTGAAACATCATCATGAAAGATACAAATAATTCTTGGATGTTCAGAAACACTGTAAATCACCATTGCTGATGGATTTTGGAATATCGTGTCAGATTCAAGTTCATAAGAAAGAAAAGAGCAGTTACTATGTGTGAACTAGTTATATCTTGGTAAATGGACTCATTCTTAAATAGCGCTTTTCTACTCTCCCGGAGTACTCAGAGCGTTCTATGCAACATGTCACATTCAGCCAATCTCACAATCTCTGACTGTAAACTGAGTGCTGTCTAACTACATTCACACACAGATGGATGCATTGGAGAGCAACTTGGGGTTAGTAACTTGCCCAAGGATACTTGGCATGCAGACTGGAGGATCGAACCCCCAACCTTCCAATTAGTAGATGACCAGCTCTACCTCCTGAGCTACAGCCACCCCCTTAAATTTAATCCTGTAACACATGAACATGTGTAGAATAATTATGATTTCCACGTGTGTGATCTGAGCAGCAGGAGAAGCTGCTGTTGTACAAGATATGAAGTGTAGATGTTGTTGTTTCACTCTGTGTTTCTATGTTGTTGATATTTAGTGTTTTACTCTCTAAAGTCAGACAGCAAATAAATGACAGTTACAGTTCAGCACGCAGTGATTTCACACACAGGATTAATGTTTGTGTTGTGAGTCAGTAACAGTCTAACAACAATGTTCAGCTGTTCTGATGGAAGACGGCTTGAAAATGGACTTTCATTATATACAGGACACACATGGACAAGATGGAGTCCATCAGTAGTGTGTGGTTGTGTTTATGCAGCTCAGATCAAATCATCACTAAATGTTTCCTTCTTATTGTTCCAGTGTTGTGCCTCTGAGGTCACGTCTTCATGAAGAAATCAGGTTTTTTGTGAATCTGTTCTGTGCAGCAGCAGAGAGAGAACAGCAGACAGGAGAGAAGATACTGGAGCTGTTATCATCAGTGTGCACATATGAAACATTCCCTGTTCATGAGAGATGCATGGATGAGTTTGAAGCTGAAGAAGTTCAGATTGATTTCCTGCTGGATCTGTGCTCTCATGTGAAGGACTGTGAGACTAAAACAGGCTTGAGTGTCCTTCCATCATTACAGTCAGTATTTTCAGCTCCTGCAGTCTGGTTCATAAACCTCTCAGAGAGAAAGACCTCCATCCTCCTGGAAATTCTTAAAGTCCAATCAGGGAAAAAACAGTTGAAGCTGAGAGGCTGCCCACATGAAGAGAGTGAAGTGAGGAATTTTCTTCAGTGTCTGCCTTATATCTCACAGCTCAGGTAAATGAACTCACTCAGTGGAAAAAAATGTTTTAATTTCCAACAATTTACTGTAATGATACAATTTAATATTTCAATATTATATTTTTGTCACCAATATTTCTGTTTACACATTCTGATTTCATCCACTTGGAGTCCATATTTCAGTTATATTTCTACTGTACCTAATATCAGAGGGAAACATTGTTTTCTGCACAGCACTGTGCTTATTTAATTATTGTCAGTAATTTGTTGCCTTGAACCTGATATTATAGATGTATGTGTGATCAGTTCAAAACAGCTGAATCCTTATGACATGTTCTTCAACCATACATAAAAAAGTAATCTTGTATTTTCAAAACATTGTTTTATTTAATTTTATCGTTGTAATCAGTAATATACTTTGAATGTTTAAAATCAGTTGTGTTTCAGTGAGTTGTTAGCAGCTAATCTAAGTTAATGAAGGTCCCTGTGTGACTGAACAAATGAATCACAGAAGAGTGTGGAGTACACAGATGTTATTATTTGAACTATTTGACTGAAAGAGTCTGAAATGCAATAATCTTCTCGCTGTATGAAAATATTTGAAATAATGTGATTAATGATAAAATTGCAGCTCAGTAACAACAACACAGTCATGTTGAAACATCATCATGAAAGATACAAATAATTCTTGGATGTTCAGAAACACTGTAAATCACCATTGCTGATGGATTTTGGAATATCGTGTCAGATTCAAGTTCATAAGAAAGAAAAGAGCAGTTACTATGTGTGAACTAGTTATATCTTGGTAAATGGACTCATTCTTATATAGCGCTTTTCTACTCTCCCGGAGTACTCAGAGCGTTCTATACAACATGTCACATTCAGCCAATCTCACAATCTCTGACTGTAAACTGAGTGCTGTCTAACTACATTCACACACAGATGGATGCATTGGAGAGCAACTTGGGGTTAGTAACTTGCCCAAGGATACTTGGCATGCAGACTGGAGGATCGAACCCCCAACCTTCCAATTAGTAGATGACCAGCTCTACCTCCTGAGCTACAGCCACCCCCTTAAATTTAATCCTGTAACACATGAAGATGTGCAGAATAAGTGTGATTTCCACATGTGTGATCTGAGCAGCAGGAGAAGCTGCTGTTGTACAAGATATGAAGTGTAGATGTTGTTGTTTCACTCTGTGTGTTTCTATGTTGTTGATATTTAGTGTTTTACTCTCTAAAGTCAGACAGCAAATAAAATGACAGTTACAGTTCAGCACGCAGTGATTTCACACACAGGATTAGTGTTTGTGTTGTGAGTCAGTAACAGTCTAACAACAATGCTCAGCTGCTCTGATGGAAGATGGCTTTAAAATGGACTTTCATTATATACAGGACACACATGGACAAGATGGAGTCCATCAGTAGTGTGTGGTTGTGTTTATGCAGCTCAGATCAAATCATCACTAAATGTTTCCTTCTTATTGTTCCAGTGTTGATCGTTGGAGGTCAGATCTTCATGAAGAAATCAGGTGCTTTGGGAATCTGTTCTGTGCAGCAGCAGAGAGAGAACAGCAGACAGGAGAGAAGATACTGGAGCTGTTATCATCAGTGTGCAGATATCAAACATTCCCTGTTCATGAGAGATACATGGATGAGTTTGAAGCTGAAGAAGTTCAGATTGATTTCCTGCTGGATCTGTGCTCCCATGTGAAGGACTATGAGACTAAAACAGGCTTCAGTGTCCTTCCATCCTTAAAGTCAGTTTTCCAGTCAGCTCCTGCAGTCTGGTTCATAAACCTCTCAGAGAGAAAGACCTCCATCCTCCTGGAAGTGCTGAAACTCCAACCAGAGAAGAAACAAGTGGAGCTGACAGGCTGCTCACATGAAGAGAGTGAAGTACTGAGTTTCCTTCAGTGTCTGCCTTACATCTCACAGCTCAGGTAAATATGTTTTCCTTTAAAAACATATCTGCATTTGTAACACAGTATACTTCACTACTACAGAATGTAGAGTAAGTTAGGATCTTTGGGGTTATGTTCTCTAGGTACCAACTAAGGAGCGATTGATACACAGCTAAAAGAAAAGTTATAACAATAATTAAAACAACCCCATAAAGTGTTGGGTCGCAAATTTTGAAGCCAATATGATAACCTTATCCCACCAACGCTGTGGAGGACCAGCTTTTCAGATCTAAACAAAATCAAGTCACTCAAAAAGATCCTCTGGAAAAGAGTATAATTCTTAGAAGACAGAGTTTTATTAAACAGTGTCATTTGGGGTGGCTGTAGCTCAGGTGGTAGAGTAGGTCATCTACTGATTGGAGGGTTGGTGGTTCAATTTCTGGCTTCCCCTTGTCTGCATGCCAAATATCCTTGGGCAGGATACTAACCTCAAATTGCTCTCCGATGCATCCATCGGAGTATGAATGTGTGTGAATGTTAGCAAGGAAAGCACTTAGAAAAATGGGTGTGAATGGGTGTATAATAGTATATATGGGTGTTGTATAAAGCGCTTTGAGTGCTCAGAAGAGTAGAAAAGCGCTATATAAGAACCAGTCCATTTACCATATGAACAGCAAAAATGGTACAAATACAGCAAGGAAGCATAGTGAACGCCGCGGTGTAGAGCACAAACAGCAGAGACACACAAAATGACAGACAGGAAAAAAGCAGCCCCGGGTGTATCTGACCCTCCTTTATATAGGAGCAGTAACCCCTACTCCTGCTGTTGGGTAACTTTCCATTTCTTGTTTTTTTTAATCGGAACAAATTAACTTTAACCTAATAAGTATTTTCTCAACTCTACAAGCGTCAATATTATCTCAATTGTCAATGTAATATGTTTGCCAATACTCCCCAATCAGTTGTCAATTTGCACTTTTTTCTTCTTTAATCTCTGACACTTGTGTTACATAACTTTCTGACACTACTCTGTAACTTTTGGAGCGCTGTTCCCAGCATCCATCATTTTTAATTGGGTCCCTTTGACAGTTTTATGGGCAGGCAACAGAAGGACCCAAACGCAAACTCGCTGAAACAAAAAGTAAACTCCAAAAAACACAGCTTTATTGCTGGTGTGGTGAGACACAAATAACAATTCAAAACTAAACTGGGGAAACTAAATCATAAGGAGACACAGGGAAAATCACACACAGCTATGAGGGAGGACGCGACACTGAACACAGGAAGACTGAGGACTTAAATACACACATGAGGTGATCAGGAGAAGTGGCAACACACGGGGGGAACAGCTGAAACAAATGAACATAACGACATCACAGGGGAAGTGTAAAACTAAACAAAATAACACAGGAACACAGGACCTCTTTCAAAATAAAGTAGGAACCATAATGAAACTCAGACATGACTACATGAACTTGACCACAAAAGACATGCAGACATGAAACACATAAAGGACAAGGGAGACTTAACAGGGGGCTGAAAACACAAGGTGAATCTAATAAACAAATGAATTTAGATAACTTTATGAACAAACCATAAACATCAAAATAAACTAAAACTCAAAACGCTGGGTCAAAAGACCCATGATCGTGACACTATATGGGTTAAGGATGGGTGGTTCACCACGTTCTGGCAGCACAGACAGGCGGAGAGGCTCTCAGGTGCATCTTAGCAGGGCCAAGTTTATTTAACCCTATGTTTGGACTTGTTGGCCATAACACAGTCAAAGGTTACCTGTTGATCCTAATGACTACATTTAAGACAGTATTGATCACATATGCTCATACAACAAGTGGCACAAACTTCATTAATATAATTAAAGTTAATATTTGATATTAGGAACCTCCAGAAAAAACATTTGGAATAACAAACCTTATGAAAGACTTAAAATACCTTCACTCGGCTGAACATGCTCAGTTTAAAGAAACTAAAAACTAATACAGGGATGGCCAACTCCAGGCCTCGAGAGCCGGCGTCCTGCAGGTTTTGTCCTTGTCTTTGATCCAACACAGCTGATTCAAATGGCTAAATTAACTCCTCAACATGTCTTGAATTTCTCCAGAGGCTGGTAATGAACTAATTATTTGATTCGGGTCTGTTGACCCAGGGTGATATCTAAAACCTGTAGGATACTGGCTCTCAAAGCCTGGAGTTGGACACCCATGAACTAATATGCTGAAACTAAAGCTGGCCAGAGCTGGCTACAAGCCAGTGGCCCTTCTATCTTTCCTTGGTTTGAGCAGTGAACAGACCAAAGCAACTAAAAGCAAAATTATAGAATTATCATCGGTAATTTGTGATCAGCCGTTCTCCATAGATGAGGACCGAGGCTTCAGAAAACTGATAATGTAACTCAACCCAAAATACACTTTACTGAGTAGGTGTTACTTTTTATGTAACACCTACTCATGTTACCAAAGTTGTTAAATCTCATTTCATGACACACTCAACTGCCACAAGCTGATCACAAAGCAGCAATTGCTACATTAATGTTAAGTTATCAACAAAGTGAAAATGCGTATCTGATCTTTTTTTCTTATATAAATCTGCTGCAGCTGCTTTTGTTTGTTCAGGTAAAATATGTCCAGGAAAGCTGAGAGTAATCCTACAGCAACTCATTTTCGGTGAATTATTATTTGGACTTGTTTCCAGCAGCAGAGCAATTTCTCATGAGGATGAGAGAAGATCCTGTAACTCAGTGCATTTGGGAAACATTGTAAAGTTCAATAATTAATTTTATTATGAAACCAAAATTCTTCATCAATGAAAGTAGAAATGTGTTTGTACTTGCTCTCAGTGACTGTTCTTAAAAAGAAAATAAATCAGAATCAGCAAAACATCAAATTGGCAAGTCAAACTTAAACATCTTGATGCATGCTCAGTCATCCAGATAAGTAAAGAAAAGTTGTTTCTGTTCATCTCGACGTAGCGTTTTCAGTGGGAGAAGTGTTTCGTCACTCATCAAAGTGACTTCTTCAATTTCAGCTGACTGCAGTTTTCCCCAGTCTTATAAACAGTACATTTACATAATGACTGAAAGTAGTTGCACTGAAGGAACAATGGGCTGGGAGGTCAGTTCCTTGATCATTAATAGAAATGTTATTTGTCATATACGCAGTACAAGATATAATGAACACGTAGTTAAATGCTTGTGTCCGATCTGCAGACGTAGTCGCGCCATTCAAGGGCTTGGGTTTAGCATGGGGGGGTGTAAAGGTGTGTAGCCTTACCGCTACACTATCCAGCTGCCTAATATGCAAATTCTCATGACCATTGATAACAAACCACTGATCAAAGCCCACTGATCAATGGCCATGAGTACCATTCACAGAGAGTTGGGGAATGGCTGCAATAACACCACTGAAAGATTGTGAAACATGTACCCTTAGGCCCCCTCCTCGATTCAAAGTAATATAGTGTACGCTGTTAAGTGCCAGGATTGCCAGGATTTATACATCAGGAAAACCAAACAACCTTTGGCAAAGCGGATGGTACAACACAGAAGAGCTACCTCGTCAGGCCAGGACTCTGCAGTCTATTTACACCTACAGGCCGGTGGACACTCTTTCAATGATGAGGATGTACACATGTGTACACATGTGAAAAGGTAAAGACCATCTGTGAATCGAGGAGGGGGCCTAAGGGTACATCTTTCACCATCTTACAATGCTGTGTTTGCAACCATTCCCACATAGCCATTGATCAGTGGTTGTTGATGAATGGTCATGCAGTCCCTGCAGTCAGCTGAGACTGAAGAAGTCACTTGGATGAGTGAGGAAACGTTTCTTCCACTGAAAACACTACGTCCAGATGAACAGAATCAACTTTTGGGGGTCAGACTTAAACAATTAGAAATCTAAGACTGTCCATTAAAAAGTTAAATCAGCACATCTCTAGTTCTCACTAGAACCAGTAATGTGATGGTTTTGTGGTCCTTTTTTTCTCTACCACTTTTTACTCTGTCTTCAAAGATCAAACATAATTCCTTGCATGATATAATAACAGTTACTTATAACAGAGTGGTTGTAAATGATAATAGTCATCTATGTTTCTGATGTTATGGCAAAATGTTCAATTCTTGTTTTAGTTTCTCCTCTTCATTTTTACGCTCCACTGAAACCAATTTAATGCTGGGAAAAGCAGAGAGAGAACAGCAGCCAGGAGAGAAGATACTGGAGCTGTTATCATCAGTGTGCAGATATAGAATATTCCCTTTTAATCACACAGATGATGACTACGAAGAGATGGAGTATCAGATTCATTTCCTGCTGGATCTGTACTCTCATGTGAAGGACTGTGAGACTAAAACAGGCTTGAGTGTCCTTCCATCATTACAGTCAGTTTTCCAGTCAGCTCCTGCAGTCTGGTCCATAAACCTCTCAGAGAGAAAGCCCTCCATCCTCCTGGAAGTGCTGAAACTCCAACCACAGATGAAAGAAGTGGAGCTGAGAGGCTGCTCACATGAAGAGAGTGACGTGAGGAGTTTCCTGCTGTGTCTGCCTTATATCTCACAGCTCAGGTAAATGAATTCTACTTCATACAATTCACACTGCGTCAGAACAGATAACATCTTAAACAAAGAAAGTTACAACAGTTTTTTTCATCATTTTCATTGTTGCGCTGCTGCGGTAAATCAACTCAAACAGTACAAAAAAAAATTTAATTCCAGAAGGTTTACTGTTATTGTATGATTTAAAATTAATATTCTTGTCTTTGAGTTTGTTTAGTTTTTATATATTGTGATTTTTGTTTTTTTCACACATCAGGTAATTTTTCAGTTATATTTGTACTCTGTCTAATTTCAGAAGGAAACATTGTTCTCTGTACACTACTGTGTTTGTTTTATTATTTTTAGTTCTGTGCTCCCCTGAAGGCTGATATCTTAAACATGTGTGATCACTTCATAAAAATTAAGGCTTGTTATCAATTCATCACGCTCATATAAAAAAGTAATTTGTTAGTTTCCAGATGCTCACATTGATTAATATATTTTCAAAGTTTAAAATCAGTTGTGTTTCAGTGAGTTGTTAGCAGCTGATCCAAGTTAATGAAAGTCACTGTGTGACTGAACAAATGAATCACAGAAGAGTGTGGAGAACACAGATGTTATTATTTGGCTATTTGTCCGAAAGAGTCTGAAAATATGTCATAATCTTCTCCCTGTATGAAAATGATGACATCATGTGATTACTAGAAAAACTGTAGCTTAGTAACAACAACACAGTCATGTTGAAACATCTTCATGAAAGATCAAATTAATACTAAATACTAGTTTTGAAAAACTGTAAATCAACACTGCTGTTGGGTTTTTGAATAGCATGTCAGATTTAAGTTCATAAAAAAGAAAACAGCTGTTACTATATGTTAACTATTTATATCTTTAAATTTTTTCAGTGACATATTTCTATGTTATAAAAATATATATTTCACAGTTTATTTGATCAGAAATTGTAAATTAAATTGGTGTGTCACAGTGCAATGTATCAAATCATGTTACTATAATCATTGTATCATGTTTGAATGGGTCCTGTTTGCTAGCAAATATTAATACTTCTTAGAAGTACTGACAAACTGAAGGACAAAACTGGTATTGCTTTGTAGAATAGCTCACCAGCTTCAAGTAAAAAAATTAAACAAATTGTTACTATACAGATGAACTAGCATCCGTTTCAGTTTACTCTAATAACACATGAACATGTGTAGAATAATTATGATTTCCACATGTGTGATCTGAGCAGCAGGTGAAGCTGCTGTTGTACAAGATATGAAGTGTAGATGTTGTTGTTTCACTCTGTGTTTCTATATTGTTGATATTTAGTGTTTTACTCTCTAAAGTCAGACAGTAAATAAAATGACAGTTACAGTTCAGCACGCAGTGATTTCACACACAGGATTAATGTTTGTGTTGTGAGTCAGTAAGATGGAGTCCATCAATTGTGTGTGGTTGTTTTTATTCAGCTCACATCAAATCATCACTAAATGTTTCCTTCTTATTGTTCCAGTGTTGATTTTGAGGATCGTCATGAAGAAATCAGGTTCTTTGGGAATCTGTTCTGTGCAGCAGCAGAGAGAGAACAGCAGCCAGGAGAGAAGATACTGGAGCTGTTATCATCAATGTGCAGCTATCAAACATTCCCTGTTCAGGAGAGCTACATGGATGATTCTTATGTGTCTGATTTCCTGCTGGATCTGTACTCTCATGTGAAGGACTGTGAGCCTGAAACAGGCTTGAGTGTCCTTCCATCATTACAGTCAGTTTTTTCAGCTCCTGCTGTCTGGTTCATAAAGCTCTCAGAGAGAAAGACCTCCATCCTCCTGGAAGTGCTGAAACTCCAACCAGAGAAGAAACAAGTGAAGCTGAGAGGCTGCCCACATGAAGAGAGTGAAGTGAGGAATTTTCTTCTGTGTCTGCCTTCTATCTCACAGCTCAGGTAAATAAAATGTCTTCACATGATTAAATCGACACAAGATGAGATGCTTACTGAAATCAACAGTGAAAATATTTTCCGTTCTATGATTTTAATGTAATATTTCTCTGCTATCAGTTTTATAGTGCCACATTAGTTTTATCCACATTGATCCTTCATTTCACACAAATGTTGTAAATTGACTAAAGATCAGGGTTCAATGTTTTCTTCTTCTTACTGACTTGTTGTTAACACTCACTTGAGTTTTAGTCCCGTGAACATTCAAATGAAAGAGCTGAGCTGTTTTTGAAGCTTTACTGTCTGACTTACTAAATCAATCAGTTTCCACTTTGAAACATGTGACAGTCTTCTGTCTGTGTGACAATAATGAAATGATGTTTAATAAGAATCAAACAGTAACAATAACACAGCCATGTTAAAAGGACAAGAACATGTCACATCAACTTTAAGATAAAACAGGATCAAGCGTCTGTTGCTGCACAGAGGGCTGAACAATGAAGCAGGTTCATCATAACCAGGCTTTCTTTGTGTTCGCTGGCTTGATGAAACCTAAAGCTGCAGTCAGAGATAACAGCTGTCACAATGTGGGCTCAAAACTTTGTGTTCACTCAGCTTCAGTCTCTGTCCACACTCACATAAAAGGAGGAGTTTGATTTGTCTCTTCTTCCACACCAAATGGACCAATCGAATGCCACCTTCATCAGTCAGAAACATGATCACATGAATGGATGATAAAGATCTATGAAGTGAATGAATGAATGAATATATGTGTTTGAGCGCTCTGTGCTGCAGTTTATTTGTAAGCTGACAGCTGCACATTAGAGCTGTGAGACTTTAACCTTGATCCATTTAAAGATTAAAGGTTACTCGCTGCATTCAGGTCTGACACACAATCTGATGAAGGAGACGAGGAAACCTCTTTAGTTTGTCACCACATCAAAGTGAAGTTCATATTATTGGTGGGATCTTCTCTGTGATAAATGGACTAAACAGCAGATTAGGCTCCACATCTGTTTCACACTGCATCAGCAGCTGCATACATGTAAACTTGTGTGACCATGTGACACACAGACTGTGCTGCTGTAACTTTACAGCTGGGCTTCATTCAGTGCTGTTAGTCAGACTGATACAGATCAACAGGTTGTATATATAACACGTACTGATTCAGCAGAGACTCTACATCACACTCAGAGCAGACTGGAAATAACAGAATCAGAGAAAATGTGGCACTTACAGCTGATTTTAATCTGAAACTCTGAACATAACCTGATCTAAACCAGGCTGTGTGTTCAGCATCTGTTACCATGGTGATATAGCCAGGTACAAAGAGAGCTGCTTTGGTGAAACTAAACACTCTGACAGGAGGCTCAACATGATCCACTTTGTGTTTAAGACTCTTCTTCAGCTGCAGAAAATATTAATGTAATATAATTTTGCAAACTTTCAAAAGTAAATGAATCAAAATTTAAATTAATTAATTTCTCAGCAAATGTTAGTAAATATGTGATTTCCACGTGTTGTTCCACTCTGTTGTTCACAGAAATTAGTTAATAATTTATTTAAAAAAAAACTCAGATAATACAATATAGGGGAGGGGGAGTAGGTGTTTGCATGAACATTTAGCTAGTAAAACATGGGTGATTTGGCTAGTGTTGCAGCAGGTGAGTAATTGATGAATGAACCACAGGGAAAAGTACAGGAACAAAGCTCAGCCTCTGAAAACACGCAGACAGATGCACACAGGAGGAGGGATTGAGGCAAATGGGAAATTCACATTTCTACTGAAGCCATCCAGAATTTTGATTAAACGTTAATATGAAACATGGACAAGTCAAAGTTAGTTACAAACTACACCTTTGTACATGCTGTATACATGTTTAGTCCTCACCCGTTCACTGAATGATCATGGCTGTATTTCCCTGAGTAAGCAGAACTTCAAATTTAACATTTAGTAAGTGAGGAACTGTACATTTCCATGTGAATATCTACTGTGCTTCTTAAGTCATGAGGATCAACATGCTGGAAAAAATAACATGGATCCATGCATGTTTACTTTGATGGCCTATAACTCTAAAAAATACTAATGAAGAGGAATTTGGACATTTCTTCATTAAATTTACTAAAGTGCAAAAAATTCCCCTGATTAATAGAGACCCTGATTTTTCATGGAATGACAACAAAACTAATTGCTAGTTTTATCAGCTTGTTCATCGATGACTGAAACACAAAATGTGGTTTGTGGTAATGTGAGTAGGTCTGCCTGTGTTTTCTGATTTCATCCCCACTGTGTTTCAGCTGTGATCCAGACTTCTTCCAGAGTGTGTGTACATCCATGTTTGTAAGATCCAGAGAGGAGGCCCAGCAGCTGGAGTCTCTGCTGCAGCTCCTGGGGTTCCAGCTGCTGTTAACAGGAGAGTTACACAGGAAAAGCTGCTGGTCTGTGGGGAGAGTTCTCAGACTGTGTGGCTCTAAAGTGGATCTCGTCCTCACACCCAGCAAGATGTCTGCCAGAGGAGCCGCTCTCCTCTTTAGACACACAACACAACTACACAGTCTGAGGCAGGAAGTGAAATCATGACTCTCTTGTTCTTCTAACACCATTTATCTGCTGTCCACTTTGAATCTTTGGTTCTTGGTGTTCATCATTTCTGCTCTTTTGTCTCTTTGATCTTCAGGCTTTCCATCGACATGTCCTTGCTCCTGTTTCAGTGGGTAAGAAGAGGCAGAGTGGTCTGTCCGCTGGCTGTGGAAGAGCTTTCTCTTGTGCCTAAGAAAGCCCGACCATCACAGAGAGTATTGTTGAGGGCTGTCAGTAGTTTGGCTTCCCTGCTGAGACACTGGACAGTCGGACGGTTAGACCTGACTGAGAGCTGCATCCCTGCTCAGGGTCTGATTACTCTGCTGCTCCATGATGGTCCTCTAACAGTCAAGTAAATGTCTTTCCTGGACATCACAGGCCAAATAAAATGTACATTTTTACTTTAAATCTTATTTTATATTTATGATCTCTGCAGACTGAGTGAAGAGAGCTTCCAGCAGCTTCTGTCTCTCCTCCATGAAATCCAGGACAAGGACTTGACGCTGTCCTTCTTGAGTAAGGTTGGTGGAGACCTGACCTCCTGCTGTCTGAACTGGGAGCTTCTTCACTATATGCTGCAGCAGGCGTCAGCTCAGACCATCACTGTGAACCTGAGGAAGAACCTCTTCTTACAGGAGGAAACCACACGTCTGCTTCCCTTTCTGGACAGGATTGTGTTTAAAAGGTGCTGAATGTAGTTTGATCTTTTACCAAACACAGTTTCTGCTGTTTAATCAGGAGGATTTGAAATGCTGTCTCATCTTTAATCAGAAGTTTATGGATCCTTTAAACAAAGTTGGAAATAAACTGTTTGTTTTCAGGCCCAGTCCCAGCTTTGTGATGAGCTCCATCAGAGAGCTCTGCAGAGCTCATGACAGTCACGCTGTACCCAGTTTACTGAGGTCACTTGGTCATGTGATCAACCTGAGCAGCAGAGAGCTGGACTCAGTGGACTGTGCTGCTCTGATCTTCATCCTCAAACACGGAGACGGAGTCAAACTGAACCTCCTGTGGACCTCCATACCAGCAGAGGGAGCAGAGTCCATCCTCTTCATGCTGGACAAAGTTTCTCATCTCAGGTCAGATATTAGAGCTCGTTCCCAAACTTTTTTTGCTAGGCCCCCTGCCCCCCCACCCGCGCGCGCACAAACCCACCCTCCAACCACACACACCCATATTTTGCTCCATTGCGGTTTATTTCACACCTCAAACATTTAGTAAACAATTAAGCAAATACAAGTAATCTGCAATAAATTACAGGTAGTAATAAAATAAACTACTAACTCTTACGCTGCGTCACACCTACATGGGTATTTTTGAAAACGCAGCTGTTTCGTCCACACGTAAACGGCGTTTCGAATCACCTAAAACTGAGATTTTTTAAAACTCCTTTTTTGCGTTTACGTGTGGACAAGGAATACAGAGCTCGTCACGTAATGTCAAAGGTATGTGCCTTTTTCACGTCACGCTGTGCGCCACGTTATTGTTTACATGAGATGAATTGCAGATAGAGACAAAATACTGTTAATCTTACCATCTGCAGGTTTTACACGCTTACATATACGCATGCAGTTACTGTCCCTCCATTTAGAAAGGCAGAGGCGTCACGGTGTGATTATTTTATGTGTAGTTGTTTTTTTCCTGTGTAATAATAGTCAACATTGTTATCAATACATTTTTCGAAAAATGCCTCTCTGTGCAAAATGGGTTTAAAAACATAAACAACTGTGGGATACTGTTTGTCCGTGATTTGAACCGGGGGAACAAATCATGGCAGGATCAGTCTGATATTATTTGTATCCCACGGTAACTTTACTGTATAAAGAGCTCACATCTCCAAAATGTCAGGAGTAGTTAGTCATTGCAACAAGTGTTTGTGAACTAAAAATCAAGAATGTGGGATACTGTTTGTCCGTGATTTGAAGAGCCCAGCGCTGCTCCCGACGAAGGGAAAACTAATTCTGCAGGGAGACCTACCTTGGTACTTGTGCAGGTGAAGCCAAAGGGAAGATTTGCTTCACCATATTTTCTAGTCTTTGGCTTAGAATGAAGTTGGTTTGGAAACATATTCAGCGATGCTTCATCTCCTGCTTTGCGTTTGTGTGGGTGCCCTCTGCTAGCAGTGTCCAAGCATTTTGGGGGTTTTTTTTTCCTTTTCGTACCGCACCCCCCCTGCAATGGGGGGCGGGCCCCACACTTCGGAAAGCTCTGCTGTAAACTATCCCAGCCACTTGTGCCTCTCAGTGTACGCTGTCCCTGCTTGCATCTTAAATCCTGCTACTATGTGCACGATAGTCCCTGGGTCACCTTTACAAAGCTTGGGACCTGTTGACTGTGAAAGACTTGGATGGATGGATGGACCTTTGTATATTGTGATGAGTTTTCATGTCCTGACATCAGTGGCATTTATCTTTTGCTGTGACCACCTTATTATTCCAGCTAGGTGTCTGACAGCCAGCAGGTGATATGTATTGATAGCTTGGATTTTATTCCTATTGTTCAATTGGCTTTTCCACCTCTGTCTTACCTTCTGGGAGTATTTGGCGATGGATACATCTTTAGCATGGTTCATGTTGGCACTTGAAATACTCAGATACTTGTAGCTGTCCTGTATATTTGCTATTCTGCCTTCTGGTAGCACCACCCGATCAGTCTGGATCACCTTCCCTCTCTTTGCAAGCATTTGGCCACACTTAAACAGTCAGAATGACGTCCCGATTTCCTCACTATAGATAGTGATAGTTGATTTCTGGCATACATCTTCATGTCATGTATGATTGGTGGCTCCAACGCCACCTAAGGGAATTACACCCCTAGAAAATATAAAGAGAGCATGTCTTTATACTTACTAAAAAAAATTGCACAGGTTTGAAATTATAATACTGAGGCTACTTTCAGACTACTTTATTAAATACATTGGTTAAAAGACAAAAAAAGAAGAATTAAGCAATTGTAGCCCAGAGCACAATGAAAGTTGACATGGTCTACACTGTAGTTCTGCTTCCAGCCTTCTTCTCCAACTGCTCCAACCCGAGTGATACTGAGATTACTGTGGCAGTGGCATATATCAGCTCACTGGTTTAAGTTATGATGGTTGGGGATCGTGCTTAGGAAAGTGTTCACATCTGCAAGCACGTCCTTTCAGATGTTTCTGTATACTATGCCAGCCACTTGGTTATGGCGCTCCATTTTGCATCCTGCTGTTAAGTGCTGGGTTTTCTCAGGGGCATATTTCTACAGCCTGCAGCTGGGGTCTTGCCTGGTGTGGTAGACCATGTCCTTGTGCTGCCATGGTTAGTGCCTCTGTGCTGTCTTTCAGTCCAGGTTTGTTCAGCCATTTGCCGGATTTCTCGATATCAGCCACTTCCTCTTTGAATCTTTGTTTTTTCACCCTGGACTGTTGTTCTGACACTCACTAGTCCTTGGCATTGTTCCTTTTGCTTAGCATACAGTCTCAGGGTGCTGGATTTTGGGGTGAAACATTTCACACATAGCAAGGGGATTTCTTTTCTTAATGACAGTGTTTTCTATCTCCTCCTTTGGCCAGCTAATATCACAGCAGGATACATATAGGTGGTGATTGCCCCAATTCTGTTGTTCCAATTCAGCTGACTCTTCACGACTTGCCTTACTTTCTGAGGTTATGTTGCAGACGCATCTTTCCCAATGGCCTCTTCATGGTTCCCATTTGTTCAAAGGTACTTGTACCTGTCCTCAATGCTATTCTTCACTCATGGCAAACAGCTTGATGTCCCTGATGTAGAGCAGGTGGCAATGGTTTATACAGTAGTGGGGACTCTCTCCTTGGTAAATCCTGTACTTTATGGTGACTTGTGCAATTAGCTTAAGGTTGGGCTCTAAGAGTTTCCATATCCCCATTATCTTCCCAGTGAAAGAGAGTTTAACATTCTTATAGTATTAACAAGTTTGACAAATAAGCGCACATTATCATGAAGGCAAAAATGGAAATGGACAATAAATTCCCTTTAAATTAATTTCCTGTCTTTTATTTTTAGTTTGCGATATTTGGATTTGAAGCTGATGTTAGTAACTGAACAGCTGAGGTAAACTGAGTAGTCATGAATTGGTTTATGTTTGCCTGTATTTTTCCTTGCAGTGTTGACAGGAATCAGCTGCTGAGGTTCATCCACTGCTGTGCTGCCTGTGACGTCCAGCAGGAGGCAGCGTCAGGCCTGCTGAGGACTCTGCAGCACAGCTTGGATCTGTCCTGCTCCTCCTGTGTGGAGCTACCAGAGGAGGATCAGCCTGAGCCTCTGAGTCTGACCGCTGATGACTGCAGGGCCATCTCCACCATCCTGACACACAGCAGCCGGGACACACAGCTCGACCTGCGAGATTGTGAGGTGGAGGACAGCGTGCTGGACCTGCTGTTTCCTGTTCTCCACAGGGTCCACCTCAGGTGGGAAAGACCACAGAAGAGTCTAAACCAGAGAGAAGCTCGTTCACACTGGTGTTGATGCATCCTGACAGTTTCTCTTTGCTCTGTTTGTCCTGTTTAGAGTCAGTAAAACTGTCCTCCTCCAGCTGCTGTCTCTGGTTCCTGTGAACAGTGAGAGGGACACAGTGAGGCGGGCGGTGTCCCTGTGTGCAGCCCTGGGTGGAGAGCTGGATCTCAGTCACAGCACGCTGGATCAGAGGGCCTGTGGGGCTTTGGTCCAGATGCTGGACTCGTGTGAAGGGCTGACAGAGCTGGACCTCAGTCACTGTCAGCTCACTGACCAGCTGCTGCTCCCTCTCATCACACATCTGCACAAAGTCCAAGTCCTGGAGTGAGTGTCACACACTGATCCTTCTCTGGGAGGCACCAATAACCATCAGCCTGTTCACACACACTACAATAATATGATGTGCAGTGATCACTTAGAGCCTCTTGTTGTGTTTGTGTTACAGTCTGAGTCACAATCAGATCACTGATGCTTCGACTGATGTGTTACTGCAGCTGCTCTCCATCAACCCCTCCATCGACTGTGTGCGGTGAGCCAACATGAATCAGTCTCCATCAGTGAAGGAGTTTCTCCTCAGACTCTCAGAGGAATCATTCACAGTCTGAGCTCACATGGATTCATGTTGTTCTGAGTGAATGAGTGACGTCTGCTCTCTCTGCTTTGGTCTCTTTCTAGACTCTACAGCAACAACATCGTGCACAGAGCAGCCTTCAAGGAACACAAGCAGTTTGAGATATGAAGGAATCATCGTCAAGTAGTTGTTGGTTTTTTCTCTTCTCGTCATCATTAAATGAAAACATTGGAGGAAGTATGAACACTGGTGCTGTGTTCATGGAGTCAGCAATGTACGACACAGTAACATTAGAGTGCTATGTTAATTTTTTTTCTTTTTTCTATGATCATTAAGAAGACAGTTTATATGGAGGCTCAGGATATATCTCATCCTGATGTATCTTTTGTTTCTCAGCTGCTACAGATTTTTCTTTGATGGAGCTCAATTGTCTAATCGAGCTCCATTATAGTAAGTAAGTAAAGTAAAGTTACTAAGTGCTTTTCACAGATAAGCGGTCACAAAGCACTGTTGACAAAAGGCTAAAATAAACAAGAACTTCAGGTGCCAAAATAGATGATACAAAACATAATAATAAAATACAGTAAAGTTAACAGGTACTTTTAAAATAAAATAAATAAATCAATTAAAAAAATCTCAGCAGAAAGCCTGATTAAACAGAAAAGTTTTTAACTGTGTTTTAAAACAATCCAGAGTCAACAAAATGTAGTTGTGGTGGTAGACTGTTCCACAGCCTTGGTGCCACAGACTGAAGCCTCCGTCCCTTCTTGTCTTTAGATGTGTTTGTGGAACAACCAACAAATTCTGAGTCTTTGAATGGAGACGAGCAGCAGTGTATTTAGTAAGAAGTAGACATAATCTGGGGCCAGGCCATTTAGTGCTCTGTATGTTAAAACAAGAATTTTGAAACAAATTTTAAAATCTATTGGGAGCCAATGTAAAGAGTACAAAATAGGAGTAATGTGAACATGCTTACTAGAATGTGTTAGTAGTCTGGCCACAGAACTTTGTGTAGCTTGGGAGTCGAGAAATAGATGATTTGTTCAAGTTGGTAAAAAGGACATAACAATAATATAAACACGATGACACAAATGCATGAACAAATTTTTCCAGTTCAGCTGTGGAGACCTTATGTCGCAATTTAGAAATGTTCCTAAAATAAAAGAAAAATTCATGATTTTACATTCGAGCCAAGGCCCAGAGGAGAATCAAATATTTCTCCAAGATTCTGAATGTCAGATTAAAAGAAGATTAGATTACCAGTAGAGCTGTTTCTTCAACAGAGGAGTTACCTCAGCAAAATAGGATGGAACACAAACTTGCCTCAGCGACACGTTGATGATAGATTGCAGTGTGGGACCAACACTGGTTAGAGTCCCAGATGGGACAGAGGGAGGTAGTATATCTGGGCAACATTTACTTTGGGTTCTGTTTACATTTTGAGTATTGGTTATATTTACTTCTTTGTGTTTCAGTTAAGTACAGCGTCACCTGTGTCCATTTGTATCATGTTGTCAAGTTTTTATCTTTGGCATCTGATCCTTCATGTAGTTACTTCCTGTTTTATTTTGATATTGATTTGGCTCTGGTATAATGTATTTATATTTGCTTATGCATCTCATTATCCTGATTGGTTTCAGCTGTGTTTTGTTCCAACGCTGTTTTACGCTCCTTTAATTTGCCTATTTTTATATTTACCTGTTAAACCTGAGAGTCCTGCAGGCAGCTACCTGGGACCTGTTTTCAGCTGAACCTTGACAGATGACCATCCTGATGTTTACACATCTGAAACTTCTGTAATAATGGTGATTCAGTTATTTTATTTTTTGTTAGACTATTGAGACAAAACAAAGAGGCCAACTTGTTTTTGTTTTTTTAATCAATGCAGTGAGTCGGCCATATTTATTCATTGTGCTTTTGTGATAACTGTACTTATTCTACTCAGCATTTTTCAGTCAGGACAGAGTAGAGAGACTCTATAATCACTTCTCAGAGGAACGATGCAATAAGTGAGCAATCAGGAGAAAACTATGTTTGGTACTTTGACATAACTGGAACAAATGGGCATAAACATGTTAACATATATCGGTTTTCATATTTTATATTACATGACATGGGTGAAAGTGGTTATTTTTTTCTGTGACAGTTTTCCTCATTAATGGAACATGTTAACAAAACCTTCTACCATATTAGTTTACAGCTGCAAATGGACTCAGGGAATAAATTATAAAAGGCCAAATGTCTGTAACTGATGATTCCGTCTCAGTGATTTATAGTTGTAGTAAATCATGTTCATGTTGCAGGATCACAGTCCGCTTCAGGTGCTGACAAAAGTTTCTGCAGATAAATTAAGATTTAAGACCAGGTTGACTTTAAAAATTAAGATTGGAGCATTAAGATTTAAAATTGTTTGGCCTTACATACTAAAGAGCACCAACAGGACGGACCCTAATTTACCTCACCAGTATCCAGATGAACAAGTAATAAAGCAAATTCAGCTCCCTTGTACAGTTATGTTTTTTCACTCTATTACTTCAGCCTGATTTAAGTGTGACTGATCTTCCTCCTATACATCAAAATATGTTTTTTGTTCTATATTTTATAAATTTTATAGAATATTTGTTTACAATGATTTATTTCCGTCACACTGATAACATGTATCCAACACAGCATGTTTCATGGAAGAATTAAAAGCTCAAACATTCTGGAAAATTATTCAAAGTACTGAAGAGAAACAAACCTGATTTCATAGCAGAAATGCAAATTGCATTGCATCATGTGAGAACAAACAACTCAAAAAAGAAAAAGAAAATTCAAAAGACAAGTCATTTCAATGAGCTCCGCAAAACACATGTACTTTTGTGAGTTGATTTCAGCCCCTAAACCGTGACCAGAGGAAAGAATTGTCAGAATAATGTGCACACATTTTAGAGAGGTTTTCCTGTAGGTACTCTGTACAAACACTAACACCAGACACTGACAGCAAAGCGTGCAGCTAGAAACAAAGCTATGACATGGCTATCCGAGGCTTATGAATTTGTGATCGCACAGCATCTCACATTCTCTCTCACACACACACACACAAGCAGAAAGTGCCGAAATAATATATATTAATAAAATCAATAGCATTATTCCAGCTTTTAATCAAGACCATGGGCAGCAGTGGTCAGGGGAATGGACACGTTTAAGCTAATGCTGTCCACTCAAACCAAGTAACACAAAGATGCTGTAACATCTATAAGTTGCGAACAAAAGAGAGAAACCCAGTAACCATAGGCCCTCACAGATTGGATGTACCAAACAGACACTCTCATTCAATAAAGGGTTGAATGAGAAACAACAGTTCCTAATGAATCAGCTTCTAGATATACATTTCCATATATAGTGCACGCACATACAATGAGTGCATATTTTCAAGATTCAAATGTGTCAATATGTTAATATGAAAACATTTTAACTGCTGGGCTGCCAGCAAAATAACCCTTTAATATGTTGCCTGTATATGTTGATAAAGCGTTGTCCTTCCTGACATCTACTAAAAATGTAAAAAACAAAATTTGGCTTTTATTGAGCTGCAGCTACAGTTCATATTGTTCAGTTCTGATGAATTTCTATTGGAGAGTGTCATAGTTTGCAGTGAAAGCTTAAATATCCAATAAGGCTCTTGGTATTATCCAACCATCAGAGCAACCCTCTTCTGATCTGCAGTCAGCTGTCTGGTTGGAGAAACTAAGTCATACTTATGCGTATCTCAGCCTTTGGGATTATCATTAAATCAATTCTTACTCTGGATCAGCTGGGATGAGTGATGGATGGAGGGGATTTTATTACAATAACATCAAAGAGATAATGTGAGTTTGAGGATTGATGGCACTGCAGACCAAATCCACCAAATCTACCTTTGAGTACACCGTAAAATTAGTTCCCAGAACTAAAAAACAAAACAAAAACACTATGCAAACTCAGTGCCTCAAAAAAAATGAGTAAAGCTTACTTAAGATGACTATGTTAGGACAACTTATTCATTGCAACTATACAGTACAAAGAATAACTTGATGTTTCTGACTGCAATACTAATTGTTTACAAACTGAAAAACATTTCAAGTTCTACTAAATTAAAAAGCAATTTGAGGTAACTTACTATTTTTTAATCATATTATATTTTGTCATCCTTGAAATTTCTAATACAGCACTTATATTAACATAACACTGTTTGCATGATTCATAAAGAACAGTTAACAACACTTCTTGTAATAACTTTGAGTGGAAAAGGACAGAAAAAGAACATGTGGATCCTGGAATAATTGCAGCTTCCATCATTAATGGACTGAAGAGGAAGAAGTTCCCAAGGAGTCATTTAGAAGAGTTTAGAACATCAACTGATTGAATCCATGAATCTGGACACATGTTTCTGAGTGAAAGAGACAGACATGTACAGACTGAACTACCTGTTCAACCGTCAGAGAGTTTCTCTAACAGGAGGACATTCTTTACACTCAACTCAGCACAGACACACTGAAGAACCAGGATGGACTCTAAATCCAGGATAAAGAGGTTCAGTGAATGTGGTGTTGAAGGTGTGGAGGTAGATCAGAGTGTCAGAAGAGACTCTGTAGAAGGACAGAGTGCCACATACACTGCTACTCTGTTAGAGACAGAGAAGGAGATTGATGATACTTTCTTACAGTGCCAGACACGAGAAGGACCATCATCAGAGCAGTACAGACTCCAGGACTGATCATTCCCTCCAAAACAGCAGTCATTACTGTCTCCTTTCCTTGTGATCCTTCTGCATCTCACAGATATATAATGTCCCCTCTTCATTCAATCTCCCAGTAACAGCGACCAGTCAGACCATTTGTACACAGCAGCTGAGGCCAATAATGAAATCTGTCTGTATGATCAAGATATGACTGATCCTCCTCCACACATGTCACCTTCCTGTTGTTATCAGACAGTTTGAGGTTTGTGTTCACTGTGTTTGTGTCGATTGTGAGTTGACAGGAATCTGATGGAGAAACAAACACAATCCAGCTGCAGTTATTGATCCATCATCTGTTCATTGATTGACACTTTGATGATGACTCCTGACATCAGAGATGTGAATGAGTGATGTGACAGTTTGAAGATGGTTGAATGTTTGCTGCTTTGTTTTCATGAATCACATTAAAAACACACTTACACTTCCTCAGACCTGGTCTCAACCATCGGACTCCAGCAGGCTGCACCCTGAAAGGAGGAGGGGGGTCAGACCAGCACAGTCTCTTTCAATATGCACACATGGACATTACATCTCTCTCATACACATACTGTTAGACACTAATAAAGGAACAATCCAACATTTTCACGAATACACTTCAATCCATACACACAGACTGAAATGATTCACAGCCTTGTTTCTTTCTCGGACAACACATTTTAAAACTATCTAAACCTGTTCATCCTGTCAGTTTCACTGACTGTCATTGTGACTGTGGACATACAGCACAGGAAACACACACATTAAAATGTCTGACACTTTATTAGGTACAAAGTGGCAACTTTCTTATGTACAGTACACCTCTGGCCAGAGGCAGGAAGTAACGAAGTATTTTGTTAATGGACTTAAGTAGAGTATTTACTTCTCTGGCAGCTTTTTACTTTTACTCCAAACATTTCTAAACAAATCTCTGTACTTTCTACTCATATTTTGAGAACAGGCTTGTTAGTTTTGGTTTAACACATTTGCGGAGAGTTATTTCATGTCACTGCGAGCCTTCACACATCAAATCAATTTGAGGCTAGACATACTGTGAAACCTGCTGCAAAACAAACTAAACTAGACTAATTGCATTATTTAAAGGTTGTTTAATATTCTACAGTATGTTTAACATGTTGATCGTGAACACAGGCCATTGCTATAAGTCAGTGTTAGAGTCAGATTGGTTCTTTATCTTTTTGGTGACCTCACCCCAGTGCATCACTGACTGAATTCCACCCTCATACCAACTTTATACCATCTAGAAAACAGACAGCATGGCTGAAAAGATGGGAGTGGAGAAGAAAGCAGAGCATCATGGGAAGTCCAGGTTTTCTTTGTGTTAGCTGATTTGACAAAACCTAAAATCCCAGTCAGAGATGATGAGTATCATCACTGGAATTATCATTTCTCTGTTAAACCACGCTTTCTGCTTCAGGACCTACACATGCTCACATGACAAGGAGCACTTTAAACATCATTTCACAGGTGTTAGTGCGCATGTGTGTGATGTAGAGGTGTGGGTTTGAGCTCTCCACCGCAGCTTTCCATAAAACACAAGATACCATGATAAAACCATTCAGGAGCTGATATAATCGACTCGTACCTTTGGCTTAATCATTGCCCTGCATATCTGAAATGTCACCGCCGAAGAAAGCCTCAAACCTAGGCAAGAATAAGACCATCGACGGATACATTAGCAACGCTAATGTTAGCGAGCTTGATGCTAATGATAGCTGCACCAGCAGGGTTTTGGTTGAGCCTAAAGTTGTCACTCCGGATGACAAGGGTGAAATGTATAAGATATGCCAGGAAATATGCAAGACAATATCTAAATCAATCCTGGAGAAACTTGATGAGCGGTTTGATGCTTTTGAGGCCAGGTTCCAGTCAGTGCTGTCCATACAGAATGACTTACAGAACCAAACGGAAGGTCAGGAATTAGCGGTCAATGCGCTGGACGAGTGAATGGATGTGCTTGAAGCCAAATGCGAGGACCTGGCAAAGCTTGTTGATCAGTTTCAACCCAAACTATTGGACTTGGAGGCTCGTTCTCAGAGACTTAATATAAAAATTGTTGACATAAACGAGGGCTCAGAAGAAGGGAGACCGAGTTTATTTCCATCCTCATCCCTGAATTATTGGGTAATAATTCTGTGTGTGTGTGCGTGTGGGGGGGTATTGTTTTGTTTTATAGCTCAGATGCGTGTGTTCATTTATATTTATAATGACTGATGTCCAGGGTGGTGTGAAGGCAGAGGGGGGAAATCTGCTGTTGATCTCATGGAACGTGAAGGGGCTGGGTAGTTCTATAAAAAGGGAAAAAGTTTTCAAGCATTTGAAATCCTTATCTGCAGATATTATCTTTCTGCAAGAGACTCATATTAAAAAAGATACACAACATAGATAAAGTGCAACTGGGTATCTCAGATATGTCAGTCACCATATTATTGGGGAAGAATGTCCCATTTCAGATGACTTGTGTGGTTAGCGGTCCCCTAGGTAGATAT